TTAAAATACAGGTAAAGGTAGGATTTATTTATGTATGTATGTATCTTGCATCAACATGAAGTTCAGCAAGTAGAATTTGATAGACTGGATTCAATTTAGGAGAGCTTGGGAGGCAAAAGAATGCCTCAAAATTAAGCCAATGATATGTTCTATAAACAATGATTCTTCTGTAATTGTAGCATTGGGCTGAATAGGAGCAGTGTTTGGTTTTGTGGGTGTACATTTAAAACTCAAAAGTAGTAATTTTTACTCAATTTTAAATTTATTGAAGGACCTGCAGGTGTGTTGTTCTGGCTAGCAGAATATATTGGAACTGCAAGAGTAGCCCGTTAGTGGAACATGGTGCTGTAAAGCACTTTTTGGTTGTAGGCTGTATTTGCCAATGCTTTATTTTGTACTGCTTCCTTTTTTGTTATGACTTTGTTTCTTATATGGAAATATTTCAGAATATTGAGTTTGTTAGTGTAACAAAAATTTCTTAAAATCTGTTTATTGCAGTGTCAAATACGGTTTGGAGGAAGAAAAGAAATTGCTTCAGACTCTGATAGCAGGTAAAGTAGAAACTTTTAACATGCTTAGATTATGTATCATAATGACATAAAACATATGGCACTTGACATGCTCAAAAAAATCTCAGTTCCTTTTGTTTACACAAACTGACATGGGACTCTGAATTTTTTCATCTTGTAACAGATTTGACAGCTTAACAAACAGTGTTCTTCTGTATGAAGTTATAAGTGTTTAAGTGACAAAGCATTGAATTCTGAGGTCTGAACATGAGATTGGGAGACCTTATCTTCCCTAAAACCTCTTTTAAAATGAATGCATATTTATTACCAATAACACCTGTGTTTTGTGAAGCTTGATGCTTAAGTGTCAAGTGTTTAACACATAGTCATTAAGAAAATTTTAATTCTTACTTTTTCTTATTCCTGACATGTTTTAAACCTGTTTTTCTTCTTTTTCTGTATGAGAAGTTGTTCCTTTTTATTAATGTAAGTCAAAAAATGTCATTTAATTCCTATTAGTGGCATTTGTGGACAGAAATTGCAGTGCTTTTTGTATCCTAATGAGTCTTTCTCAGAATCTGTCCTGTCGAAGAATCTCGAATAAATAAAACACCAGGATTAAATGCAGTTGGTTGTTGTCCTTTTTCTTATGTCTTTGAAGGTTGACTCTGCCTTTTGGGAAGAAGTTAGTTATCTGTTGACCATTTATAAATGACGCATAAAATTCTCTCCAATCCCCTTCCAATTCAGTCTTTAAGAACATGTCTAAGAGTGTGATTTCATGACTTCTGGAAAGCCAACATTGCAATTCATTGCTACTGAAAGGGTGGGGAGGGTTTATGTATCTCCTCAAGGTCCCTGACTTCAGTACCACTCCCTTCCACCACCTTTTTAAGCAATGCCTGGTGATCATCCAGTCCCCTCTGAATTAATTTAATAAAAGAAGAAATAACGCAAGAGGATAACTTTCTGCCATTTTAGTGAGTTAAATCAGTAAAACATCTGGTGAATGCTTGAGTTGCTACAAAGAGGGGAAGATCACGCAGCTAGAAGCAACTAGAATGGGGGAAGTACAGAAGAGGAGGAAGAAGCAACAAGGGATGAGAGGGCAAACCCATCTCCTTTCAGGAGCAGCTTGTAATACAGCTCCTGTGCATTACCTGTGTGTGAAACTCCAGGCTAAGGCTGCTCCATGGCAGCTTAAGCCTGTCTGGCTTTTGGCTACTACTGTCATCCTGTGCTGCCCTTGGCTGTTTCAGCCTACAGTGTTTTGGGGAAACAGACTTAGAGAAATAGTGTTCTATTGAACTAGCATAGTGGAAACAGTTCAGTACAGGGTCTGTTCAGCAAAGGGTTTGTTGGACAGAAGCTGGTGTGAGGGAGGAAGGAAGATGCAGATGGGATAAAGGGATGATGGGGCTGAAGCACCTAGCAGTTGGACTGGCTGTGCAGCTATAGCTGTTGGCACGGAAGCATCAACTAGAGATAGTTACTTAATCTTTACTGATTAGTTTATGTGAGACAACGTATTGATGATGTTTGCCTTTGTAGTACATTGTGTAAACTCGGCTAGAAGGAAGTACCTCCTATGTAGAGCAAATCCTCTGGATCTAAAACTTCTGCTTTGTTGCTCAGTTTCCTTGAACAACTGTTTTGCTGCAGTTGTTTAATAATTTGAATGACGGCCTATAGTATTTGTCTTCTGATAAACACTGAGAGTTAGGATTCCAAAGATATAATGTTGGCCAAATTCTACTTATACATATTTTCCTTATAATTCAGTAGACATGCTGAATAATGGATTATAGCTAGGCAGTTTCAGGATTAAAAAGGAAGTGGAAATTACACTGATAGATTTTTTTTTTTTTTTTTTTTTCCCTAAATTCCATGATGTTTGAGATTGTTATTGTGCTAAATATTGTGAGATAATTTTGAAAATGAGGATAATCTGAGAATTTAGATCAAAATCCAGTAAAATCCATTATTCTCCAAGTTTTTTTCTCCCAGTGTTTTTTTTATCTTTGAGATTATAATTGTACAATTATAATTGTAATTGTACTACGTCTACGTACACTAAACTTCTCCATGTTTTTCTGTATTTGTTTATTTAACATACCCTCGTGATGCTATCTAGTAAATACACTACATATCTTGGGCATTGTAGAACACCTGATTTTTTTTTTATTTTATTTTGTTTTACTAGTGGCTAAATTTTTCTGTAAAATGCTGCATGGTTTTCTTGCTTTGATTCTCAGTGCACATGGATTTTTAATAGTATGAGCTCTTTCACAGAACCTAGTTTCTGTTCCGCTTTTTCTGAATTGAAAAAGTCAAGTAGATTTTTTTTTTTTTTTTTTTTTGGGGGGGGGCGGAGTCATGTATCTGCTGGAGTTTCCATTTTTAACAGCAGCAGTCTTTTTGGCAAAAATTAATCACAACTGCTCCACAATCATATTGTGTATTGTTTGAATTAAATTCTGCTTTATTAGTCAAGTTTTCCTAACAAAGTGAAGTTTTCCTAACATAGATGTACTGGGAAGCATTACGTGTTAAAAGCTCTTCCGTCCAGGGCGATTATGGTAAATATATCTCTTTTTCTGTCAGTGCTCCTCCTGAGATCTTGTGCTTTTTTGTGACCCTGAATAGAACTCTACTCTGGAATGCCGGGGCAGAGTCCTGAGCCACTTTGTCAACTGTTTTTATTTATTAGCTTGAACTTAGTTAAAGTATCTGTCCTTCCTTTTAGTAATCAGCTTTGGCAGCCAGGTGACAACTTTCTCAAAGCTTAAGTATTGTTTATTTAATGACAAAAATAAAACTTAGGGAGAATAAGATTTCAAGCAAACAGATTGCATTCATGTCTGTTATACCTTAAGCTGTACTATTCCCTGCAGATTATAATAATATTCCTTTCTTTGGCAGGCTGAATTTTAAAACTTTGCTCGTTTTACAATGTTTCTCCCTGTGTGAAAATTGATTTCTCAAACTGATTGCCAATTCTTCTGAATGTAATTTGTGCCCCAGCTTTGGATAGTCATGATGAGACTGTGGACATAAGTAGATTATACTGTTTGCAAATAATGAGATTAGTGCATATAAGGGGTCTTTCACTACGTATAAGATAATGGTTCACCTTTACATTCTCTATTCAGAGATTTGGAATAAACCTGCTCTATAGGAACATAGCTGATAGTTCTTTTCACACGGTTTCTTTAAAAATTCTGTTGCAGAGTCACTTGTTTGTGTGCTCAGTTTGAAGCTGTGTTACAGCATGGTCTGAGGAGGAGCCGAGGATTAGCATTAACAGCAGCAGCGATCAAACAGGCAGCAGGTTTCTCCAGTAAAACTGAAACAGGTAATTTGTTAATCGTAACTATTCTATTTTAAACAGTTGATAAGTGCAAGCAAGTGATATAATTTCTAATGCAAGTTTTAAGCAATGCACCAAACTATAGACTGTTGGTAGCATACTTAATACTTGGACTCTCATTAAGCAGTGAAATGGTTATTGCTTTCTTGATCTAGTTTAACTTTCATACCCAGTTTCTCTAGAAATTTTGGTGTTTGGAAATCTGCACTTCCTACAGTTTCATCATGAATAGTATCATTGGCAAATTTCTTTTGAATTCTGGAGGGGATAAACGTTGTGTAATTGTGCTGTTTTTACTACGACATTTTCATTCTTAACCGTGTCTTACTCTGTTCTTCAACTGCCATATGTTTAACTTCTAAGTACTGATGTAATTTGAAAAACAAAACTTACGTTACCTGTATTAGTTGGGTTGTTTTTTATTACTTTTTCTACATTTAAAGAAAAGATTCCTTTATTTTTGTTGCCTTCTCTTCAACTTGCTTCCCTTGTTTTTTATCAAAAGTATATGAAGGTGTTAATCTTCATCAGTTTCGTTGTGAAGTTTAACAGACAGTATCTTTTTTCTTAAACAGGGTACACATAAAGAAGTTTCTTTTTGGCTTTTGAAACTCTGTCAAGTGTAACATGTAACACATAGTGGGGTTTTGGGTTTTGTTTTTTTTTTTAATATATTTAGTGGTACTTGAATTGTTAGTACTTTTTCATCTCCAGCCATAACTTCCACTTGCATCAGACAATTGCATATAATGGATATTACATTAACACAAAATGTGTAGTTTGATATAATAGTGTTTTTAAATTGCTGTAACAACAGACTTGTTTCCTGTGGATGATAGGATGAAATGTTGGGTCTTGTGTGCTGACTTCCCTGCTAATGGGTTAGAGCCTCCAGACTTAGCTTTTTTTGGGAGCTAAAATAGCTATGCTTTTAGAGAAGTTGGTGAGTTTCCCATGTTTGCCTCTTTTACTTAGTAATGGGCAAGACTCGACACTTTGCGGACTCTAAATGAACAAGTAAGAAAAATCCAGCTGTTTATACAATTTTTACACATTTTTCGACTCTTCTGTATGCTTTTTTCTCCCTTGTGTGTGTTTGTAATTGGGGATTAGATACTCTGTGGTCTCTTTCAGCCTCTGGGTAGTTTCCATCCCTTTAATGGGTAGTGATTTGGTTATCTGCTTTTTATCCCCCCAGCTTGCAATTGAGAGTCTTATGCTTTGGCGCAAAGAATGTTCTCCCCTGCTACGCTCTCTCTGATTTATGCAAATAGTGTGTCTTTAAATTTGAAGACATTACGTATAATTCTTATGATTTCTCTCTTGTCTGTTAGTAACATCACAGGTGTATGAAATTTTTGGTCCTGTCTTTTAGTGGTCAGATGTACAAAGGTGCGTCTCTGATACTTGGGAACTTAGTAACATTTAGCGATATATTCATGTATATGTGTGTCTTATTTGGGGGCTTGTCAGTGAGATGATGTAGAGAGGAGAAAGTTGGGAAAGTTATCTATGGTTGGGGAATGGAAGAAGGAAGAAAACATAATTTTTATTCCTTAAGAAGCTTAAGCAATATATGGAAGTTCAAGAACAAAAACGTGGCTGCTTTGCCGCAAATTGAATGCTGTACAGTGACTAAGAAGAGAAGCTTTTTTTTTTTTTAATAGAAATTACTGGGTTCCACTGCATTTATCTTTGTGAATTACAGTGTTGTGTTTTTTTTTTTTTCTGAAAGCAGTTGCAAAGTACTTCTATATTTTTATCACTTTCAGGCAAATAAGTCTGGTGTGATTTATATTCCGTTCTGTCTAACATAATCACAGGTGTCATTTTTTTCTTTAACATAGTGGAATACTGCTGTTTAGAATATACATTCAGGCTTTGACAATTGAAAAATGAAATTGTTCAGCAGTGGTTTTTATTTGAAATTTACAGATACTTCATGACAAACTGTACTTTCAAATGGCTGTAAACAGTGTAGCATCACTTTGAATCTAAGAGCTTCAGTGTTTTACTTTGTTTTTCTTAAATGAAAATAAAAGTTTTAAATAAAAACTCCAGTAGTAGTTCTTTGGAACTATGACTTAAAAATCCTATTTAAAATATTTAAATTTTTTTAATATATATTGAAGTAAACAAATTCCTAACATCAGTTATGTGATTTGGTATCAATTGATGGCATGGTCATTACAGGTGTATGCCGCTCCTTTAATCTTATATTAGGCAATCTAAACAAAACCATCAAACAATAAATTCTGTCTTTAGTTTGTAACAATATGGGGGCCTCTTCATTTAACTCCAGTTCAGGTTATGTGAGAATACTGTAGCTGATGCAGTATTCACTGAAAATTATTAGGACAATGTTGATTAAAGATGCTAAATAGATCAACTCTTCCATTGCCTCTGGCTGCTCTTTCTACTGTTTTATTAGAGGTTCCAGACTTGTTGAAACCTTTCTGTCAGTAATAGCAGTAATAGCTCATAGCAGTGTTTTTTCTGCACTCAATCATAGGCTAATTCAAGTTGGAAGGGTTCTCAGGAGGTCTGCAGTCCTACAAAGATCATCTATGAGGTTAAACGAGGTTGCTCAGGGCTTTATCCATTTGGGTCTTGAAAACCTCCACAGGCTGCACAACCTCTTTGGTCAACCATGTTCCAACATTTGACTGTCCTCATGATGAAAGAGTTTTTCCTTATATACAGTCTGAACCTCTGTTGTTTTAACTTATGCCTGTTGTCTGCTGTGCTCCTGCTATGTGCTGATGTGAAGAGCCTAAATCAGTCTTCTTGATGACTTCCTTGTAGGTACCGGAGGGCTGCCTTTTTTTTTTTTTTTTTTTTTTAGTAGTTCTGGTGCTGCATGTTGCTATAGATTAATGTATATGCTTTGATGCTATAACTGTAGGATAGTATTATCCGTTTACAGGCAGGTAAACTGTGGCAGAATTACAGATGTGGTTTGTTTGCAGCCTCATGGCACGTCAATACCAAAAATAGGAATGTATTTTGAAATTGTTGCTAAGTTACAATATGTTTATAGTTTTACTACTTTGCATATTATAGCTTGCTTATGAATAGTAGGACATTGTAGAGTAATGCTGAGGGCTAATATGGTAAAATTATTAGTTGCTGTGCTTAGAAATGAAAATGATAGACTAGGGCTTATGGAATATAAACTTCATTTAATGATACTCTCAATTAAAAGCAAAAAACCTAGTTTTTCCAACTATAGCAAAGAATGTCCTACTATGAGACACTCATGACAAATATGAAACTGTTCTTTAATTACCTGACAGAACAGACACTGAAATGCACAATGACTGCAGTGTAAATTTTTTTCTTTACTTTTTTTTTTGCGTAAAAAGGCACTGAACCTGGCTTCAGACTGATCTCTGTGCTCTCAGCTTGAGACATGACTGCTCTTTGGTGCTGATTAATGATTGGTGGTATTGCAGTTATTGGAACTGTGATATTATTCAAATTAAATAAACTGTTTTCGCAAAGTGATTAATATTTGGGTAAATTGCATAACATCAGTGTCTTCTCTGCCTGCGGTATAATTGTACAAATTGTATTTTACTGAAATGAAAATGATCTTACCTTTGAATAACAAGTATTGGATTATTTGCTATGAAAAATAATATCAACAGTTGGGACTTGGATTTTCATTTAATGCTACTCTCAGGAGAACTTAGTCATTTGAAAATGCCACTTACATTACTGTTTTTATAAAGTATGTAATGGAAGGACTTAGAGTATCGAATGCTCTTACTTTATTTCCATTGTATAGATTTTGATTAAAAACTGCTGATAATCCAAATTTTGAAGCTTTTCAAAATCCTTGATATCTGTAAATAATCAGAATGCCAAGAAGGATTGAGTTTCACTCTCAGCACAAGGGGAAATCTGCTTATTTTCTTTATTCCTGTAATATTTTCACTTCCTACTTTAGTATTGTTTTGAGCTTTAGCAAGATGGAAGAATGAATTTTATTGGTCACAAGAAACAATGAAATAGTTAAATCACTATTGTCTTGATACAAATCTGGCATTTTAAGGAATGCTTTTTTTTACATATATATGCGCTCTATTTTTTAAATGAAGATCAAATAGGTTGAAGCCAAAGGAGTAGGACATATGATACTTGAATGCTCTTGTATGTTCAGTGGACCTCCTTATTGTTTGCATGTTAATGTGCCTATTAGGTCCTAGTTCAGCAAAGTATACCTTTAGTTTTGCATCCTACATTGTCAATTCAATGGTTCCTGTGTTTTGCTCATTTGTCTGATTTAGAAGAGCTCTGGGTTATTCTTGCATAGCTGTCAGACCTATTTGACAAAACTTCTAGTTAATGAGTCTAACCTGCTTGTTATGTGTTTAGGTTTCTAAAATTATATTATAAACTTTGCTAATCTAATGCTGTATTTGGCTTTCAGCAGAGGTTAATAAAAAACCCCATGCCCTCAAATGAGCATAATTCACCAAAAGAAGTCATAAGCTGTAGCGAAAACCTATTCAAAATCTCACTGCATGCTCTTTATTTAGCAGAGAGAAAGAGAAGCGTCATGGATGGCTTTTTCTTAAAATTCTTACTACATTAAAGTGATAAGCAAGGAGTGGCAGGATCAATCTGTTTTCTCTCTCGTGTGATTTTTTTTTTTTCTTGTGTCTTTGAGGAAACTTTTTACCCGTCTTTAAACATCTGCTTTATGCTGCCTACATTGAGATTATGATTAAAAGCCAGCATAATATTTGAGGTGATAGTGCACCATTCACTTATACAATAGAATTATTTTCCCTATTTTGTTAACTGAAAAAAAATGTTGAGCAAAGGCATTCATTAAACTGTCAAAAGGACTACCTGCATGTCTTCCTTGAGAGATTGATGTGTTTTAAATTTTTTTTGTAATGCTTGGGTTTCTCAGATTTTTTTGCACTTAAAAATATCCTATTTGCCTTAAATTCAGTCTCTTAATATGTTACTAAATGTATAGATTAACAGCTTTCAAAGTTCTAGTTATTCAAGCAATTCTATTTATAACAAATCAAAGTCACATGAACATTATTGTTAATGTTATATTTTAAGATACTTGCAAGCAGTATGTATTTGGTGCAACATTAATGACTAATGATTGCCAAACTATACCATATAGTAATGATTCAAGTCTTACAGATTAATTATCTGATGTTTGGTTGTTCTTTTCACCCTGAGAAAATGGTAAGAGGTGAATTGTAATAAATATGTCCTTAAAATATGTTCTTATTCAGTTGAGAAACAGGAATGTGTAAAATACTAGGTGTTTTGTTGTGTGTTTACAATTACTGGTGTAGATTTGTGTAACCTCTAATTGAGAAATTGAGGTAACTGCAAAAAACCTTTTTATCAATATTTGGGAACAGAGTAAGGAAAGTATTTTAGTGGAAAGGAGTATTGTTGCCTTTTAAATGTAACTTTTGTTTTTTAAAGTAACATGAATTTGTCATTTGCACGTCTGCAAATTCTGGAGTTACCCATTCCTTTGGACCTAGCTTCTGACATTTCACAGTCAGCAGTAAGATAGAGTTCTAAAGAATTTTTTTCCTTTGCATAATATATTGCCAGCTGAACATGTGAAACTGTTCCATGGATGAAATACTAGCTTAAATGTGCTTTTAAATGTGAATTCGATTAAAAAATGTAAGATAGAATCCTTTAATGTGTGTGTGTGGCTTTTTCAATGAAGTGAAAAGTTCTAAGTGCTTAAATAGGCCAAGTTCTGTAGAAATAAATAACCTATTTAACTGAAGAGTTATACAAAAATGGTAAATGATTCACCTTTGTTCAAAGTTATATACTATTACCCGCTTGTTTTATAAAAATTGCATGTAAATGCATTCAGATATGAGCTTAGCGGTTTTTTTGGGGGTGGTTTTTTTTTAAAATTTTTATTTTTTTCTTTTATTCCAGAGCCAGTGTTTTGGTACTATGTGAAAGAAGTTCTGAATAAACATGAACTGCAGCGCTTTTACTCTCTGAAAACAATTACTACAGATATTGGTAGAGGCCGGGCTTGGTTGCGCTGTGCATTAAATGAACATTCCCTGGAAAGATATGTTCATATGCTGCTTGCAGATAAGAATCGACTCAGGTACTGTATTTGATATCTTTGTAATGCAGGAAATGTATTGACAAATGAAGTACTGAGATTAAAAAAACCAACCAACTAACCAAAAAACACAGCTGTAATAATACACCATATTAGTTGCTGTGCTGGTGAAGCCACTTAACCTCATACTTTCGTTTTGTTCATTTTTGAAATTTTGGCAGCCATTAAGATAGTGGCTTGTGCCTGTATCAACATGTGACCTGAAACTGGCTTCATTGTAGCACGTGAGAATATATGCTTCTATCATCATCTTCATTTCCATCCTCTTTCCTAACTCCCTTCCCTATTCTTTCAACAGTTTTCCTCTCTGAGACCTTGACACCATACTTTGAGGTGCTCCTCTCATTGCATTAAAATAGTACACAATTGCAGCCTTGATCTTATCAATTCATCAGTGGTAATTGCCTGTTGCCTTTTGGAGATGCTCATCCTGTAATTGAAAAGCTCCAGCAGTCAAGTAATAGGTAGCTACTACTGCAGATCACTTGGAGGTGGTTTTGTACCAGTTTGTGAACCTTCTTGGTACAGAGTTACCGAGGATAACTTACTATGCATTGTGAAATCCTAAGGTACTTTGAATGTGCAAAATGCACTTAAGTTCATACTTAACTGAGTCCTACCTTTTTCCTCATACATCTTCACTCCTTTTCTTTCTGAAATTCCTTTTTTATCAGTAACTGTTAAGCTTGATCAAGTCCAGTGGATTCAGCAGAAAGGCATTCTTTCCATTTGCATCAGTTAATGCATGTACTGGATAAGATTATTGCCAGAACTGAGCTCGTTAGTACCTCCTTTTCATTTTTAGTCTGTTGCAGTCCTCTATAGCTTTCTTGCAAGACAGATTTTGTATGAAATCAAATAAAGACAAATGAAACAACAAAGGAAAAAAAATCTGAAAACTGTTGTGAGGAAATTAGTGACTTGGATTGCTATGTCACTAATTACTCTCATGCTTGTAGCAATACTTGTGCAGTATCAGGATTATCAGCACTCTCTGCATTGTACATGAAATATTATTTCTAAAAAGGCTTATTCGAGAATATTTAAGATTTAAATGTTATCCAAATTTAAAGGGGGTTTACAGAATCAGTTTACATCCCCAATTCTTATCTGTTTTGGAAACTTTTAAATGAATCTGTCAAAATTGTTTAATATAGGTTGAGGGTTTTCTTGCAATCTGGTTTTATGTTTAGTTAACTGAATGCCAATAGTAAAAATATAGCGTCCTGCTACTAAAAAGAAGCAGGTTTAGACAACTAAATTTATGTGTTTGCAGTGAAATTCATGTTAACTTGTTTTTTTCTTACATCCAAATTCCTAGTTGACTCTAACTATTTAGGGTAACTGATGTGGGTTTTGGATATTGAAACAGGTCACTGAATCGTAGAATAATAGAATGGTTTGGGTTAGAAGGGGCCTTTAAAGATCGTCTAGTCCAACTCCCCTGCTGTGGGCAGGTACATCTTTCACTAGATCAGGTTGCTCAACCTGATCCTAGTGGATCTTTTTGTTTGTATTCATGCATTCTAATATTTTATAAAATGGCTTGGTAATTATGGTCAACTATAGTTATTTAAAAACTTACATATGCAGTATAGCAATAGTGACTGCTGATGTAGTATGAACCTCCTTGCCCTGAGTGGCTTTTTTCCCATTAAAAAAATGCAGAGCTAAAACTGAAAATAAAATACTATTTAGCATGTCTTTGATAACTGTTCAGACAGTTCTATATATTCCAGGGCTTCAGGGAGTTACTGTGACTTTGATCCATTGGTGTACTCATACTTTTTTTTCAAAGTTTTCATGTCTTTTAGAAGTGGAATGTATGTTAATATAGGACTGCATATTCTTTTTTTTTCTTTTTTTTTCCCTTTCAAATTATAGTGTCTTCTATGAAGACTGGTCTTTTATGATGGATGAAGAACGTTCTAGTATGATCCCTACGATGGCAGCTGGTAAGACTTTCTCTTAAATGCTACTGTTCTTGGAAAACTATTTCATTTTGGGGTGTTATATCTGTTTCTGATAGTGAGGAGCTTCTCTAACACACTTTTTGCTTATGTGGAGAATGTGTGTCAGATGCACATTCAGGGTGGATAATCAAGATATTATGCCAATTTATACTATGAATTTATGAACTTTTAAAACTGGATCTGGCCTTCCTACAGTTCAAAAGTCTTTCACATAAATTTTCTAACTCTTCATCAGTCAAGGCTAACTTTTTAAATAAAAACTAGTGCAATTCAGAGAAAACAAAATGGGTTATTACTGACTAGAAAAGAGCAATGATAGACTTTTATAGTCAGACCCAAATTATAGGTAAATACATGGGAGGAGAATAAGAGTAAGGAATGATAACAGATAATTTACTTTTCTAGAGTTTGACCACAGAAGTGATGTATTACCTTTTACACCCCTTTTCTCAGATACATGGTCACATGCTTCGTTCTGCAAGATACAAACTCACAGGAATTTTTGTTAATAGAATATTGGAACCAACAAATATTAAAGTTGCAGTGAAATGGGTTTAAATAAAAAGTTATAAATAAATAATTCACAGTACTTGCTGCTTATTTAATGCGCAGCTGAACAGCCATCAAGATAAATTCAGAACTAATGGCATCAGCTTGAATATCGTCTAAAAAAGAATGAATGAAAGAATAAGAATTCATGCATGGAGAACTGTGAGAAATTTTTTTGGAAAAGTTTTATGTGTCATAGCTTTATTAATCCTTAGGTTCTATCTTCGTAACTTTTGTATGAAGTATATATGGGTTTTTGGTCTTTTTTTCCCCTTTCTTTTATCTGAAGGTCTGAACTCCATTCTTTTTGCAATCAACATTGATAATAAGGATTTAAATGGGCAGAGCAAATGCACACCCACCGTGTCTGATTTGTTAAAGGAATCGACGCAAAATGTAACCTCATTATTGAAAGAATCCACTCAAGGTGTTAGCAGCCTTCTTAGAGAGATAACTGCATCATCTGCTGTCTCGATTCTAATAAAACCTGATCAAGACACTGACCCACTTCCTGTTCTCTCAAAGAATGTAAATGCTGGTAAGCATTTTTGCAATGTTAATGTCATTCAGAATGCAAGTGTGTTTAAATAACTTTTTCAATTAAATTTAATGCACTATTGTGGAACAAAAACCTTAAAATTAAGTGCACTTCGCATACAAACTAGTTGTGTGTGAAATAAAAAGTATGAAATTTTTTAGAAATACTGGTGTGAATACTGGATGATAAATGTGTATTTTAGCTTTCTTGTATCACTGTGAGAGGGAAGTTAAACTATCTTATTGGCAAAGTGCTTTGCTTGTGACCTGAATTTCAATTTCTTATTCATAAGATTATGCCTTGCAGTTTCTGATGTAATGATTTTTCATTTTTAATGTGTTTTCTTTTGGCACTTTATCAGTCAGAAATACACTGCCATATTATCTGTTGTCATATATCAGATAAAAATCTTAGCTTGTAATCTCCTTCAAGTGGTGCCCATGTTTACAGTCTGAATTCCTATATGAAGTAGGTAATTACCACAAATGAAAATTTACTCATATGCTCTTTTTACCTTTAAATTGTTAGTGTTGCAACCAGTTTGTAGGATGTTAGTTACTAACAAAGACCCAAAGTCTTAATCTCTTATAATTTGAAATTAATCAAGCAAAATGTGATATTCATTATACATTTGCAGTTCCAAAAATAGCAAAGGAATATTCTACCATCTTTATTTCCAGAAGTTGGGGTGAAAGAATGTTTTGCTTTGTAAAGGTACAAAACTGCAGGAAGATTCTGGGATTTATGTGTTTTTCAATTAAGAAACAAGGTTTGAGCTTAGGTTTTAAATTGTTTTGGTTATGAGGAAAAGGAAAAAAAACCACATGTGAATGCTATCTAGTAGGAATAGAAGTTGAGATAAAATCTATTTTTTATTGGCATTTAAAATAGACTTTATCTCAAAACATGGTTTTCAAAACAGACTTTGGTAAAGCTTTTGTTGTTTAGCACTTTAAATGAGATTAAAATAGTAGGTGCTACTTGACTTGGAATAACTTTGTTAGTATAGAATAGGCTTGCAAGATTAAATAAGAGAATAATTGACCATATACTGCACATGATTCTACAACATAATGTACGTATGTGTACAGCACGTATGTATACAGTACATGTAATGTACAACTTACAATAAAATGTCACTAAAAAAAATGGGTTTGTTCAAATGCCATTATATGTTGAATGTTAGAGCAAGTCAAATGTTTTCATTAAAGTCTATGTTCTTTGCTGGAATTCTGTTTGCATCCAGAATGGGTTTTAACATCCCCTTACTCTTAAAAGTATGTTAATGTGTTTTATGGATATATAACAGCTGGACTTGAATTAAACAAAACAGCTTAGTTCCAATGTGATTTGTCTTGGTGAGTAAATTTCTGATATTTCTTAGAGTGCTTCAACTTTTCAAGATCATTTAGCCTCATGTGCACATTGGAATCAGTGAGAATAGGTAATAATTTAAAAAGAAGTGCTGTCACTGCATAGATGTGATGTAATCAGAGAGGATTTCAGTGTATTTCTAGTCCGAGAGCTAATTAGCTGAGGGAGGAAGCAAGTTTAATTTCTTTTTCTGTAAACTGACTGCTCAATTTCTAGAATATAGACAAAACTAACTTTATTTGATTGCAAGTTGTGGATTTTGTTTGTGTTGTGAGTTTGTTCTTTTTAATTTTTTCTCCCCAGAAGTGTTTCATGTTTTCTCTGTTGTGTAGACATACTCTGCAATATACACTAGCCATATTCCATGGGAGAAAGTGATGGGAAGGCTAACTTTTTATTTTAAATTTCATGTTATAAGTTTTTTGAACTTTTTTTTTCCAGTTCCAATTGAATAGTTATGAATGCACCTCCAAAATATCTTCTAAAATCTGAATTATGTAAGGCATATAAAATAAAGATGGTAGTTAAAGATTTAAAAGCTCATGTGTATGGGAAGATAATGAAGTACCTTGTAGATCTAAATGTTTTTTTCTTTACTAAACTCATTTAGTACATGAGTTCTTTTTAAGAAAAAAACAAGTGTTTTACATTGTTTCTCTTTTCTAAACTATGTAAACCTTTATGTTGCAACTAGATTTGAAATTTAAAAAAGATCGAAAAAAGAAGAAGAGAGTGACAAATATTATCTCATTTGATGAAGAGGAAGATGGGCAAAATTTAGGGGATGCCATGAAGACTCTGATTGCAGGAGAAAGTTCGGAGGAGAGTGTAGACAGATCTTCAGGTTTTGTATTACCCTCATCTGAAAGCACTCTTGGAAAAAATTTGAATGGGAATGAAAGTAACCATTCGTGGAAGAGCAATTCAGTATTCATGAATGGAGATTATGAATACCAGAAACTAGATGTGAAGAGCATTGATGATGAAGATGCGGATGAGGATGAGCTGTATGGAAAAACATTAGGAAATAAAGGCACAGAAGGTGAAACCGAAGCTTCTGAGAAGTAAGTGATATTGCAGGAGCCAGTGGTAAATTTTCCATGCTTCCCCCCCTTCCTTCATCAGTACTGGCAAATTTACGTAACTAACTGAACTATAGGTTTTCTCTCCGCGCCCCCCCCGCCCCCCCGCC